AGAAATTTTTCCTAACTGGAAGAATTCTTTAGCAAAACAAGCAGCTTTCTTCTGTGACTCTGGCATCTCCTACCAGGTAAATTTTAAATGAAAAAATTATGAGAAGGCATTTGCCAAGGCTCACTTTATGATTCCATTTTGTAAAGTTCTAAGATTAAGCATCTATTTCCTGATTGCAACAAACACACAAAAATAAAAAAGCAGCTTTCATGTATAGCAGAACCCCCATATCCACTGGGTTGGTTACCATGTTTACAGTTAATCACAGACCTTGGTCCTAAAAAGTTGTAGAGTACCGTAAAGTGCCACAGAGTCATGAAATGCCAAAGGAAGTTGTAAAGTGCTGAAGAATGAACTAAACTGGGGAAATTTATATAGCTTATCTTGAGTATATAGTTTGAGTTTATTTTGTGGCTTAGCGGCTGTAGGCACCCACTTGCCCCACCATCCAGGGGTGCCCACTTGCTACTGTATAGTGTATTGTATAGTGTTTGCTATTATTTCCAGTTTAAAGGCATCTGCTGGGGGGCTTGGAACTGATCCACGAAGATATGGCGGTCCTGCTGTACCTTTGTTTCCAGTGCATTAAAAACTAGTCTTTAAAGGAGTGATAGATGAGAACAGTGGCTATGAAAGTAGACATTGTAGTCTCAAGCTTCTATTCTTGGCTATGTCAATTTGTGTTAGAGATCTCAGGGGTTAAAGGAAGAACAGTCTTTGACATGCTTCAAAGACACACATTTCCCAGGAAGTATTTAATGCGAGACATTTTATATCATTTTCTCAGTGAAGCCTAATAAAGTAGATAGCTCAACACATAAAGACAATTTGGAAGTTTGAAACTTTCACTATCTGTCTGGAGGAGCAGGGTATACCAGAACCTAAACATGGTTTTCATAACAGTATTCTGTTTACTCTTTTGCTGAAATAGTGACAAAATCTAGAAGACTAGCAAAAGGCTGGATCAATCCCAATGGGTGCTTTCAGTCAAGTTTTTTTTTTTTTACAGTGCCATTAGTTTGCCTCATTCACAAAATTTGAGTGTACACATGCATTTCCAGATGCCATAGTCTTCCATTCATAAACCCCTCATTTTCCCACTGCTTCTTACATCATCATCTTTTACCGCAGATAATAGTTCTAGTAGTACTCCATCTGGAGGCATTCACAGCCTGCTGCAAGCAATACAGCCATTTGCCTCCAAGAACAATTGAAGCTCTGGCCAATGCTTTAACATTTCAAATAAAATGTATGAGCTGAAGATCACACAGGGAGGATTGTCCACTCCCATATCCATGAATTACAGCAGAAGGTAAAAGACATGTTTCACGTGGAAATCTCTTATGCTTTTCCACGCCTCCAAGCACATTCCATTGATTCTGTCCTCAACTTTAAACTGGAAGCATCTGTGCTTGGCCTGAGATTCTGTGTTCATAACAAGCAGAGAAGTAGGGCATCAAAGTAAAACATACATAATTGTATGTGGTGGGAAAATTTAACTGGCCAATGATGTAGCAAAAGATGTGTGAATCTAATATACCACAATCTTAAGAAAACCCTACAGCAAAATTCTAAGATTGAGATTCAAAACTATTTTCAGGTTAGGAGCCAAATGCCCCTCACCTGCCATATAACATCCAGTAAGTGTGGTCAATCCCACCTATCATCGTCTGTTTCCTGGCCCAAATGCCAGTGAATCTTTTCATGCAGTACTTTGGCCAGGAATGCAAGGTTTCTGGTTTGGAAAACCTTGCATGCAATGAAGTGTGGCCTAGTCCCTATCAGAGAAGGGAGGGCAAAATAGAGTCAGGCTGTGCTGAACTCCCATTATCATCTTCAATTTGAAGACTCCCTGGAAATGCCAGATGACCGAAATCTGGCTTGTAGTTCAAGAGATTCTGCATCCCTGCTTTAAGAGCATATAAGTTCCAGGACTGTGTCTTGTGATAAATCTCTAGTTACCAAACAAAGATGTCGATTAAAAAAATGTAATACATGTACTTATCTAAGTAATATCCTCTTTATGGGTAAAACCTCAGTTCCTTATAGAAATCAGTGGGACTTAGTTCTATGTAAACATGGAGAAAATGAATGCATAGACTAGTCTTGAGATTGTTTGTTTGCATATTTACTTACAACCATGGTAAGTTGCACCGTGAGAGTCAAACCAACTATTTGTTCCAAACCAACCAACTAGTTTTGTTCTCCCCAAGGAATTCTTTGCTTCCTAATTTTTCAGAGGTTTTAATCTTGATAATGCCCTCAATTTTGCACAGACATTCACTTCAAGATCAAAATCTACTATAATCAATTTCTTAGCTTTAGGGCAACACAAGGACCTATGTCGTTAAGCTTGTCTCTCACCCTTAAAATCAAGGGATTGAAAGGGCGCTTACAAAGAAAAAGGAAGGAAGAGTGGGAGTCACAGCTTAAGGATGCTTTGCACACCAGTTTCCCTTGTAGTCAACATACCTATCCAACCCAATTGAACTGTACTGCCCTATTCCTCTACTTTTTAAAACTCATTTTGTCTATTCCACTGTAATATTTTATAGTCTATGTTTTGCATCTCTTGAATTTTGTACAAGTAGTCTAGGCAGCCTACAAAAAGTAGGAAACCCCAGAAGGAAATCCCAGTCAACAGTTGTCAAAATCTCTAATGCCTTGTTTTTCATTTATGCCTTTACATTTTACTGCTTTCTGCATACCCAAAGAAAAAAACTTTTACACCTGCCAGTGAGATCTGTTTTTGAAAAACATCCTAAGCATTTCTAAAATAACCTGGCCATTTCTATTGTTCTGAAGCACATGTAAGTATCTTAAGTCCAACTCTGTCTTGTATTGAACTGGAAGCTTTCTGTATCGAGAATCTGAGCCCAATTTCCCTTCACTACTGACCAGAGTAGAACATTGTCTCTTAACCAGTGACCTTCATATTTAGTCACTCCATATTTGATAATATACACCTAAAGTCTCTTGTCCTGAACACCACTTTACATCACAGCTGTCCTAGCAACAGTTGGAGTGCTTCTACACACAGACCAGTGGTTTGCTTTAAAAAAAATCCTCTAGGTCATTCATTTCCTGTGTTTAGTTTGGTGCTAGGCTGTGCCTGACACTGTTCTGCAGTTATAGTCTCACATTTATTTATCTAGCTAGCACAAAATTAAAGGGGTTCCATAGAAAGAGTATTTCTATTCCTAGCTCAGTTGATGACAAGCCATACCCCTTAGCAAGAAAGAGAAGAAAAGCAGGCTTAACTATCAATCATGCTGCAATTAGAGGAGGAAAATTGGAGCAGAATGGCTACAGCAGCCATTCCACCAGAGATCCTTAACTACATCTTTAAGAACTGGTACCTGAACTTCCCTTTTTCCTCCTCTTTCTTCATCCCCTTCTCCTTAGGTGTCTTGATTTACAAATTCTAAGCCTGAGGACAGCATCTATCTTAGTACTGATATTTCTAAGCCACTTGGGGAGCTATTTTTGTAAAAACATCTCATGAAATAAATCAATTACATTCCACAGCAGCATTTAAAACCCTGGAAGGAAGACTGTTAATCATAATTTAATCCAGTTTCCTGCCACATAATTAAAAAAAAAAAAAACCTTAAATTGTCAGATTACTCATCCAGTCACTTCCCAACATTGACAGGGAAGCGTGACAGGCAGTAAGATTATTAGCTAAAGCAATGACCTAATTTTATACATTATTTTCATCAAGTCCAATAGGACTTTCTAGAAAGTAACAATATTTTTGGAGTACAGCCCAATATTAGGTCTGATTACTTCAAGTTTTGGTGAGACACCCTAGGAATGTTCCTGCCCAGTTTATAAACTATCTGCTATCAGACAACTGCAGTCACCCATAACCGTTACAGTTGCAGTCCTCCTAGCTATTAGAGACCCTAAGCAGCACCCTAGGCATCCATTCTCCCGAGTCATGTTGCAATTTCATGCAGATCTATCCCGGATTCAGGACCCTTCAAACCAGAGGGGCTTGCTTCCGAGTAAGGAAGGATTAAGACGTTGTACGTTTTCTGCGCAGCTGCAAGAGACTTCACCAGAGACACCGCGGAATAACACCGCCTTAGGCCTACGGCTTAGGCCTCCGTAGCCTGCCCGGCCGGCGATCCTGCACGCGAAGTCCCGACGGCGAAGGACCGACTGGGGAGACGAGACAAGCCCTCCGCCGCGGCTTCAGGGAAGGGAGCCTCCGGTTTCCGCACTTCCAAAACAAACGGAGGCTCCTAGCTCTGCGTATGCTGAGGAGCGGCGCAAAGGCTATCCTGAGGAGAAATGCGGAAGGCACTCAGGAAGGTTCTGCAGAAGCCATTCGGATTAACGGGATTTGGGGATCGAAGCACAGAAGCAAGAGCGGCCGCGTAAAACTGCGCTGAGCCCTTGTCTGCCCTGGCTAAAGAAAAATAAGTACATGTTAAATATTTAATGACAATAAATAAATACACGAACGAGCAAGAAAGGAGGACACAGATGGTCCCCTGCCTATTTGAGACTTCCTGGAGCCGCACCAACACCTCGGAATAGCGACCCCGAGCCCCAAAATCTCAGCATCCACCTGCCCGGAGCGGCGTCCAAGCAGCCACCGTCGCTGCCGCGTCAGCGGGCCAAAGAAGCCAGCCCACCGCGGCCGCGAAGACCTTTCCCGCAGGGCCCATCGAGCGAAGTGGGAGGAGCCCGGCAAGCAACGGCTGCCCAGAGCGAGCGAGCGACCGACCTCCTCAAACGCCAATGACATGCTGACTAGAAGCCGGCGGGGGGGCGGGAAGGAAAGAGGCGTGACTTCAGGGCGAAGTTTCTTCCCGATAGGCTGCTCGCAGCGGGAAAAGGGGTGGTCCAAGCCTAACCGGCCTCTTTGGCCGTTGGTCGACCCGCAGAGTTTGATGGGGGGAGGCGCCTTCAAGTCGAGCTGCGCCCCGCAATTGGCCGTCGAGTGCGAGAGGGGCGTGTCTCGACGGCTGCCGCGGCCTCCGCGGGTCTGGATGGCGGGTGAGGGAGGATTGGGGTGTCTGTCTCTCTCGGCGGTAGTCTCGCGAGGCGGCGCGGGCGGGATTTGGCGGCGTCTGAGGCTGCTGCCTGCTTGCCTTCCTCCCTCCCTCCCAACGAGGAGCTGGTGGTGTTTGTGTGGAAGGGGGAGGAGGCGGCGGCGGAGGAGGAGGAGGAAGAGAAGGGAGAGGAGCCTGAGCCCCGCCGGCGTCGGACAGAGGCGCGGAGCCGAGGCGGAGGCCCCCTGCTAGGCTTTGGCCCGCCGTCGGCGGCTCCCTGCTTCGCCACCATGGCCTCGGGAGATACCTTGTACATCGCCACGGACGGCTCCGAGATGCCGGCCGAGATCGTGGAGCTGCACGAGATCGAGGTGGAGACCATTCCGGTGGAGACCATCGAGACCACCGTGGTGGGCGGCGAGGAGGACGAGGACGACGACGAGGACGACGAGTGCTGCGAGGACTGCGGCCCGCACCATCCGCCCCACCGCCGCCACCACCACCATCACCACCACCACCACCACCACCCGCCCATGATCGCCCTGCAGCCGCTCGTCACCGACGGCGACCCCAGTGGCGGCGGAGTCGGGGCCGGCGGGGGCCAGCTCCACCTGCACCACCACCCGCACCACCAGGAGGTGATCCTGGTGCAGACCCGCGAGGAGGTGGTGGGCGGCGACGACTCGGACGGCTTGCGAGCGGACGACGGCTTCGAGGACCAGATCCTCATCCCGGTGCCGGCTCCGGCCGGTGAGGACGAGTACATCGAGCAGACGTTGGTCACCGTCGCGGCCGCCGGCAGCAAGGGCGGCTCCGGCGGGGGCTCCTCCTCAGGCGGCAGCCGGGTGAAGAAAGGCGGAGGCAGCGGCAAGAAGAGCAGCAAGAAGAGTTATCTGACGGGGGGCGGCGGCGGTGGCGGCGGAGGGGCCGAAGGGGGCGGCGGCGCCAGGAAATGGGAGCAGAAGCAGGTGCAGATCAAGACCCTGGAGGGGGAGTTCTCGGTCACCATGTGGGCTTCGGGTAAGTGGAGCGGCCGGGCCGGGGCCGGCACGTTGCGGCGGCGACTGGGGAGGGTCCGGGAAGCCTCCAACTTGGCCCGGTGGGCTCTTCGCCCCGTTTTGTTTTGAAGGGAGGCCATGTTTGGATGTGTGTGATGGGCGCCGCCATGTTCATCTCGCCAGGGCAAGTATGGCGGCTTCCCCCGAAAAGATGGCGGGGTCTGCGCTGCTCCTGCCTGATTGCCCGGCTCCCTCCGGCGGGGGGGAAAAGGGAAAGAAAGATGGCGGCGGCCCCGCCAAGATGGCGGCGAGAGAGAAGAGAGGGGAGGGGAGGCAGCGCGCGCGCTTCCCCTCCCCTCCTCCTTCCCTGACTAAGTCCTGGACTAGGCCGCAATGGCGTAGTTTCTGCAGCAGGGGGAGGAGGAGGAGGGGAAGCGGGAGGAGGAGGAGGCGGGGCGGCCAGGCGCGCGGCGCGGGGAGAGCTCCGCGTCCGGCCCGCTTGCCGTTTCCCCGCTGCCTCGCGCCGTGCCCCGGCCGCCTCCGCCCCGCCCGGCCAGCGCCGTGCCCCTCAGCCCGCCGCACCCCTCGGGCCTCGTGGCACCGGCGCGGACTTTCCCTGCCCTCTCCCGCTTGGCGCCCCCGGCTTCAGCACGGCCCCCGCCCCGCTCTTTGCCCAAGCGCGCGTGGTTTTTCCCTTCCACTCCGCTCTCCTTCCTTCTCGCGCCCCGCCTCGTGCCTCTTTCCTCTCCCGCCGGCCTCCTCGCCTTCGCAGCGCTTGCCTCCCGAATTCCTCCTCATTTCCTTTTCCTCCTGGCACCTTCTCCCCTTGAGTTGGCCAGCTTTCCTGGCCAGGCGGGGAACGAGCAGGCGAGGCTGTCGTGTGGAGCGAACGGGCTGGCAGCTGCTGCTGCCTGGGGCACTGCGGTGCTTTTCTGTTTGGGAAGGGTTGTAGTCTGGCTGTCGATATTAGATAGTACTGGCACCACTCCGGTTTGCTGCCTCGTTCCCCGAAGAATAAGTTTTTGCCCTTGGACAGCATGGAAATGTAATAAATACTCTGTTTAGGAGAAATAAAGTTGATAGGCTGTGCCAAACCTACTGAGGAAAGGCACGTACTTCTAGCTTCTTAAACATCTCTTTAGCTGACATCTGGTGGGTGCTCAAATAGCTAAGGGGCTTGAAAGATGCTTAAAATACAACACTGACATCAGCTCTGGGGAAAAGAGGTGGATCCTCCAACCTTGGAGGTTGGGTTTCTGGCAAGAAATCAAGGAGTCTTTGACTTCAGAGCTTCTGTCCATGAATCAGGCTGGGCCTCCTTGCACTCATTACATAGCAGGTGGGCACCCACTGCCCTAGATCAAGAAAACACCGAAAATAAGTTTTTGCGATTTTAAAGGATTTATTGCCAACTAAAAGGCATTAGTGGTTGCTGCCTGTCTTGAGGTTAATGGTTAAGTGTAACAAGCTGTATAACATTCTGTAGAATTGTAGATCTTAAATAGTTTTCTGTAGATGTTTGCAAATTGCCAAGAACAGTAGTGTTTGTATAATTGACCACTATTCTTTTAAAATTATTGTTATTGTTGATAGGCTGGATATTGCCTTAATTGTCCACAGCCATAAACAATGAGCTTTATTTGGCACATCTAGCACAAAAACTCTTTTCTGTGCACTCTCTTAGTAATAAGACTGATCACAGCATTTGAATACAGTTCATTGTGTTCAGCAGTAGTAACATAAGTGTTCATTCAATGAACCCAAGCTATATGAATAATATGATTTTAGAAAGTTGAAATTTTATGCTTCCTAGTTAGAGATGTGAAACCTTATGGGGGGAGGGCCTGAAAAAAATTCTGGGGAAACTGTTCCCCTCCAAATTTTTCAAAACAACCTAGGAAAAATTAAGTGTTTGAAGTATTTTTAAAAGCACTGTGATGCAATTTTAGGACAGAGTAATTTAGTTTTAATCAAAGTGACTTAAATCATTTTTTAAAAAAATTTGAATAGTATCCAGTTAACCCTTTCTGCTGCTGGAATGGCTTCTGATAATAGAATGGAGAGGAAGAATTCCTGTTTCTTTCTGGTACAGATGTGGAAGGACTGTAGAAAAGAAAAAGTCTAATTGCGGGAGCAGAGATAAGCTTGTACAGTGTTGGACTTAATGCTTGAATTTATCTTGGAATTTATACATTTCCTGAACAAGACTACATATTGATTTAAACCTACTTATTCAAAATTAGCGCATATGTACCTTCATCAAATAATTAAAAACATGCATACAAGTCATGAGCATAATCCAGAATATTTGGCAATACAGCCAAAATCTCCTTCAGCACTTTCGAATTATATTTAAGACTGAGTTTACCAGGTACTTCCTCTGTATTATATGGAGAACTTTTAACTGAGTAGGTTAGGTCCTGACTATGTAGGCAGGTTTTCCTGTCAGTAAGTTCCATTAACTATTATGTACTTACCTCTGAGTCAACATGGACAGGATTGCATTGTTGGACTTAAGTCTCATTGAAATCAGTGGAACAAGTTTATCATTAATTGAATCTCTTCAAATAAATGTAAGACTTTAACCTATAAAGCTACAGGAAGCATCTCATCTTTTCAGCAATAGAATTTTTGACAGTCCAATTGAAGTGCATCCAATTTCTTACTTTTTCAAAAAAAAAAAATCCCCCCAGAGGCTAAATTGCTGAATCTGGAGGGCATTAGACTGGGGGAGTTTGGGGTATTAAGAATGTATGCCTAGGTGGCCTGGCTCTATATGGTTAGTCTGTACCAAAAGCATTATCGAAGTAGGTTTTTCTACTATCAAGAAACTGTTGAACATAAAAGTAACTAGAGTTTGTGCAAATACAAAGTCTGCAACCAGGTACTAGCCTGTGTTTGCAATTTCAGGTGTCCGGTAAGGTGTTTTCCTATAACTAGTGCTGCTCATGCTGGCTCCCATGAACTGCTCTGGCTAATGGGCCTGATTCTATTTAACTTTCACACCATGGTTCTTAGATCCTTCATAAGCAGTTACCATAGCCTTCCATACAGAAATGTAGTATGTATTGATGTTCATAACTCATTGGGTTGATCTGTATAAATAGTCAGCTGGTTAAATACATTAACCCTGTACCTGTTCTATTGGGATCGGCTTGTTGCACCTGCTTTGGTGGGTGATTCCATGTTACAGGTTTCTAATTCAGGGAGTACCTAGCATCAGTAGTATTGCTAGGTAGTCTGTACTTTATACCAAAGACCAGGGCGGCTACTGCACTACTTACTGGCCACCATGGCCAGTGGTCAGAGATTGTAGCAGCTACAGTCCAAAACATATGAAAGGTAACAAGTTGCCTACTCATGCTTTACACAGTCAAATATTGGAATAACTGTTTATAGATAATTAGAACTATTCAGCAAGGCATCTTGAACATGTGGTAAAATATTAATATTTCCTCTTCTGAGTGTGGAGTGCTGTTGTTCAGCAGTGCTTTCTACACAACCACATCTTACCTAGTGTTGCATTTCTTTGTCATGATTTTCAAGGCAATCCACCTTGATGCCTTGTACTGTGTATCTGAAAGTTGACCATACTGGAGCTTTCAGATTTTACCTACTTAATCATAATTGATGATTGCATGGGGAAGGCTGTGTCAACAAGGAGTACCATGAAATGGTCTTTTCCAACCTGGTACTCTCCAGATGTTTGTGCCACTGATCATAATACAAATTGTTTGTTTGATTTCTATCCCACTTTTTTCTTACAAACTCAATGCAGCTTGCATCATTCTCTTCCTTCTGCTCTCTGTCTTATCCTCACAACAGCAAACCTGTGAGGCAGGTTAGGCTGAGAGTCTGACTGGCCCAAAGTCACCCAGTTGGCTCCATGGTCAAGTGGGAACTAGGACCCTGGTTGCTTGAGTCCCAGTCCTTAACCACTACACTATACTTGCAGTTCAATGCATTTGAAGGATACCTGGTTAAATATGGAACTACTTTAATTAGTTCCCTAAATGAATTGAACTTGGGGGGTTGGTTTTTTAAACTTTACTTTTTGCCCATTCCACAAGCTCTCACCAATCATCTGTTCTGCCAATGAGTGTGCAAATATGAGTGCCTCCAGTTGTAGACAGTCTGGCTTCTGGAAACAGAAGCAGCAACTTTGAAAGAACACTTTCCTCCAAGAGCCATAGGAGGACAAAGCATCAGCCTTTAAAATTCACTTCTTAGGTGATTGTAGACCGGTGCCCTGACTCCCCTTAATCTAATTGTGGATCAGTGGTGGTCCCTTAAGAGGGAGCATCCAGTTCACCTAAAGGTTTGGATTGCAGATTAGGAAAGATCCTCTTTTTCCCCTGGGGCTTCCGGAAAATTGGTTATTCACCCAAACCTGCTAATTTGCTAGGAAATAGACAATTCACACTATATGGGTGCTTCCTTACACTGCTGATGGCTGTTTTCTGTTTCATTTAGGCACCTTTTGCATAACACTCCAGGCCACACTGGAATTCCACAGTGACTTGGAACAACCACCATAACAAGCTATCCTCACCAGATTCACATGACATGCCAAGCTGTGCTGGTGAGAGTAATTGCAAATCCCCTCTCTGCCATGCAACTGGCTTGCACTGTAGGATTTATTTCCATGGCTTCTTTTCTGTGATTGTGCAAACTAATCAGTAGTTTGCTTGTTTTATGTGTTTCCTTGTTTGTAGATAACTAATGACACAGATTTTCAAAAGCAAGGGCAAGTAAAGTTGCTGAACAGAGAAGTTTATTTTCATTAAAAAAATAGCATACAAGGTCATGAATGTAGCCACAGCGGATGCTGTGCCTAGTTGTGTATCCATGATGTCATCCTTCAGAGTCAGGGGTTTACTTCAAGTGCCTGTGATGACTTACTAACAAATCACCAATAGCAATATAGGGTTAGATCCACAGTTCCACCCACAGAAGTGGGCTGGCAAAAACTGCATTTTCACACTGGATCCTAGCACCCAGTTACTACCCTGTTCAAAGCTG